AATATCCCTTTGAACCTCTATGAGGCTCCCCCCCACCCCCCTCTTTCCTGAGGTTTTGCTGCATTCTCAGTACTTGCTTTTGTCAGATATGTGACAGTCTGTCCCCTTCTTCTCTAAGTCGATACATTGTCCACCAGTCATTTCGATGCCCTGTGCCTTCCTTCCCCCTTCCACATTCCACATTTCCAGACTGTTACCTCCCCTATTTCTACATTTCAACATCTAAATCTGGCAACGCTAGATATCGTTCAACCAACCATTTTTTATTACTTTTTTATAAGCTGTCAAAACAGCTGAATGCTCAACAATTGGTCAGTTGCCAAAACCAGCATTAGGAATGGGGATAGAAGAAGTGATTAAACCAGCGCTGTGAATTATTCACTCTGAGGCAACATCTTGGAACCAGAAAACGATTACGTTCACAATGCTGCTTATAAAAACAATTCGTTGATCTTAATTTCTATTTTTCTCCCATCTGAATCACAGGGGAGTTAACACACCGTTGCATTGATCAGCGGTGTAGGAAGCCGGATTCATCATATGATGCCACAGGGCAAGCTTCAGCAGTTTCTTAAGCTGCTAATTAAGGAACAGGAGAGAATTTAACATCAACCAAAGTGCAGATGGGCCCCTTTAAAGGCTTTGCCACAATATGGCAGGCACGAAGCAGTAGGTCACAGAGACAACATTTGGTACAGCCATGTCTCAGGTCTCTAGTGTGGCCTTGAGGTTGGTGGATAACTTACCTTCCCTCGGCCTTTTCCAGTTTCAGGATGGCAGCTGAGGCTACCAACCAATTCACTATATCCACCCTCTTTCCAGTGTCCAGGAGCCCCCAGCAGAGTCCATAGTCATAAGTCAGTCTCTCAATATTTCACATACATCAAGTTAGGTAAAAAGGCCAAAGGAGCCCTTTTTAATTCGTTTTTGTTTTAACTGACTTGACTTTTTAGATAAGTTTTAGGTTCATAAGTTTTAGGTTCAGCAAACTGAAGGGAAGGTACAGAGATTTTCCATATACTCCCTGCCCACCCACCCCACAGGCATAGCATCCTCCATTATCAACATCCACATCAGAGTACTACATTTGTTACAACTGGTAAACCTACATTGACACATCAGTATCACCCAAAGTCCATAGTTTACTGTTGCGAATAGGCCTTAGTAACTTAGTGGTGAGGTGAGGGGTGAGGGGAAACATTCTGTAGTCCCATGATGAGGGTCAGTCTTTAAGTGAACCTATGTTTCCAGACTTGTGAAATTCATGCACGCCTTCCAGTCCCTCCACCCGCATAGGTGGGACAGGATGGTTCATGTGGGCTGGAGTTGGGTGTTTTCTTTCCCTCAGGTTAGTTAGGCTCTAATAAAGTCTCAGCAGATTAGGATCTGGTTGAATAGTTTCTCCCAAGGTTAAACTTTGCAAAGAAGGACCGAATGCTCTGGTTTATTTCAAAACAGTTCCTTTTCCTCTCCTCCTGCAGGAAGCACAAAGGAATTATTTTTTCCCTGACGTTCACCAGGAGAACCTGGTAGTGATGCGAGAAGTAACACTCACAAAAGTGCGGACCCAGGGGCTTCCCTGGTGGCGCAGTGGTTGAGAGTCCACCTGCCGATGCAGGGGACACGGGTTCGTGCCCCGGTCCGGGAAGATCCCACATGCCGCGAAGCGGCTGGGCCCGTGAGCCATGGCCACTGAGCCTGTGTGTCCGGAGCCTATGCTCCACAACGGGAGATGCCACAACAGTGAGAGACCCGCGTGCTGCAAAAAAAAAAAAGAAGAAGAAGAAAAATAAAGAAAGTGGGGACGCCCCCGTCACCCTGTGATTGCCCCGACCTGGGTTTTTTAACTCTGAGTTGTCCTCTCTGAGCTTCCAGAAATTAATTATAGTGCAGGTTCACCTACCCCAGTCCTGACTCCTATGGAGGTTTCTGATCCAGTAAAGTGTGATTCTCTGAATTTGCCTGCCAGTCTCCAGTTTTAGAGGCAGCAATTTTGTCTATGACCTCTCTTCTCTTACAGATCTGAGAGAGTTGTTGACTTTTCAGCTTTTTTTTTTTTTGAAGATGTTGGAGGTAGGAGTTTATTAATTAATTAATTTATTTTTGCTGTGTTGCGTCTTTTGTTTCTGTGCGTGGGCTTTCTCTAGTTGTGGCAAGCAGGGACCACTCTTCATCGCTGTGCACGGGCCTCTCACTATCGCGGCCTCTCGTTGCGGAGCACAGGCTCCAGACGTGCAGGCTCAGTCGTTGTGGCTCACGGGCCTAGTTGCTCCGCGGCATGTGGGATCCTCCCAGACCAGGGCTCGAACCCATGTCCCCTGCATTGGCAGGCGGATTCTCAACCACTGCGCCACCAGGGAAGCCCAACTTTTCAGCTTTTTATTTGTTGTTAGGATGGAGTAGTGACTTCCAAGCTTCTTATGTGCTGGACTGGAAACTGGCAGTCCCCTTTTTCCACTCTTTATACTTTTATTTTTGAAAATTAAGTGTCAATCATAAACATCATATCTACATCTATACATATATATTCACATATTACCAAGAAATATACAATAAAGAGTAATTCTTTCTCCCATACTAGTGCTCCCAGCTCTTCTCTTTGAAGGCAACTTCTGTTTGTAGTTTCTTGTGTCTCCTTCCAGAAATATTTTCTATCTACATAAGCATATATATTTTTAAAATAATTTTAATTACACAAATAATAAACTATTTCTCTGGAGGTACTGGTGTCATAGAATGAGTTGGAAAGCATTATCTATCTTTCTATAATCTGGAAGAGTTTGGGCAAGATTGTGCTATTCTGTAAATGTTTGGTAGAATCTACCAGTAAGATAGTCAGGAGCGGGGGTTTTCTTTGTTAGGAGATTTTCACAAATTCTTTGAATTTTTCTTTAAAGAATTGAAATGATTCAACTCTTTTAATAGCTATAGGACTATTCAAGTGTTCTATTTCCTCCTGTCTCTATATTTTCAACTGTAGTATCATAAGGTGTCTGAGTGTTCTCTTACTATAGTATTATTCCTGAATTAGCTATTTATGCCTTCTCTCTTTTTTCTTTGTCAGTCTTTTTAGAAGTTTATCAACTTTATTAGTCTTTTATTTCTGTCAGTTTTTGTTTCATAGATATTGAGACTCTGTCATTATTATATCTTCCTGGGGTATTGACCTTTCATTATGAAATATCCATTTTTATTTCTAATATTACTGATTGCTTTAAAGTAAATTTATCATATCAGTATACACACAATAGCTTTTATTTGGTAATTTTTGTAAGTTTTTCTGTTTTTCTTTGTGTATTCTTATATTTAACTAATGTCTCTTGTAAGAAGCATATATTTGTTTTCTTTCATCCAAATTGACAATTGTTATTTTAAAATGGAATATTTATTCCATATTTTTGTCCTTGAGTTTAAATTTATCATTTTAATATTCATTTTCTTTTTATCCTGTCTTATAATTTCTTTCCTTCTTTCTTATAGTTTTACTTTTTTTTTTTTTAGTTTTACTTTTGATTTTGTGTGTGTGTGTTTCTGTTGTGGTTCTTTCTTATTTTACTACTTATACATTCTTTTGGTAATTACCATAGACATTATGACATATGTCCATGACTTATTAAAGTTTCATGAAATTAGAAATTTCACATCTTCCAGGAAATGCAAGGATCAAAGAACAATTTAATTCCTTTCACCCAGCTACCCGCCAGATTTTGTGCTATTATCACATGGATTTTAATTTAAATATTAAGTGTCACATGATATTATATTAGTATTGTATTATATTGTAAATATTCATTTTATTTTTACCACGTATTTACCCCCTTCTTTGTTCTTTTATTTGTTCTTGCAGAACTTTGTTTTCATTGTGAATAATTTGTCTTATGTTTGAAGAATACACTTTAATATTTTCTTTAGTATAAGTTTGATTATAAAAACTCTGAATTTCTGCTTGTTTAAAATTTTCTTTATATTTCTTTCACTTTTAAAGACTGTATTTGTTGATTCAGAATTCTAGGTTAGAAGGCATCATCATTCTTTACTTCAAAGATACTCTTCCACTGTCTTTTGTCTTTCGTTATTTCTGTTGAGAAATCATTGTTAATCTTATTGATGCTCCTGTTCAGGAGGTATGTTTCTTTGTTTCCTGGCTGCTTTTAAAAGATTTCATATGTCTTTAATTTTCAGCAGTTTTCCTATGATGCAGTTATATATACATTTTTGTTGTTATTTTCCTACTTAGAAAGCTACTTGGGGTTCATACACTTATTGAACCTGTGTATTTATACCTCTTATCAGTTTTGAAAAGTTATTAGTATCTCTTCAAATACTTACTCTGCCTTACTCTTTCCCTGTTATCTTTCTGGAGCACCAGTTGACTCTTGTGACAACTTTCCTCTGTGTACTATATGTCTCTTAGACTCACTTCTGCATTTTCCAGATTTTGTCTCTTCATATTTCAGGCTAGATTTTTGTCAGTCCTATCTTCTACTCTATTCTCTCTTTTTCTAAGTCTAATATGCTATTAAACTCATCCTCTGAGTTCTTAATTTCAGTTTTGTATTTTTCTTAGCTATATACTATTTATTTATTACTTTAGTTTTGCTTTCTTTTTAAATTCTCTACTTATAATTTAATTCCTTGATCATATTAAGCATCGTTTTGTGTTCTCACTAAGTATGCACCTTAAAATGTCAACATCTTGATCCTTTGGATGTCTAGTTCTAATATTAATTCCCCCTTTGATCAATTTGTGTACTTGTAAGTCTCAGTAGTTTTTGTTAAGGGCTGAAAGTTGCATGTCAAAAATTGTAGAAATAATTTAAAGTTCTGTATGATGGTATTTTCCTCCAGAAATAATATATTTCACTTCTGATAGGCAGCTAGGCTAGAGACAAGTCACATGAACCAAACCTGATTTGAGATAATTTAAAGATGTGCTTCAGTCCTTCTGAGATCTAGTCTATTTGCTGTTCATTGTAAATTGCAGAGTGTACCCCTTCAGAACCTGATTTTGAAATATGTAATATTAACCCCTGACATTTCTTCTTCTTGAGTCTTAATTTTCTTTTTTTTTTTTTTTCTTCTAGTTCCACAGAGTAATGAAAACCGTGCTCAGCTTTTCACCTTTTCATTCAGTGCTTTTTGCGGAATCCACAGTCACCCAGCAGGTAAGTGATGCACAAATACTTCTCTTAGTTTCACTATCTTTACAGGTTATGGCCTGAAAATTCTCACTTCCTTGTTAGCTCTCCAGTAACTTAAATCAGATGGTTTATATATTTTGGACAGATTCTGTAGTTTTTCTCAACTGAAAAGTTGGTCCTAATCAACCCAGTCATCCATGCTGGCAACAGAACTTAAGGTTATAAAATTTGAGGTAAAATAATAAAATGGTGACTATGAATCCATCACCTTACTTAGAATATTACTAACGTAATTGAATCTACCTATATCCTGTGTTGTCTTGCCAGTCACCCAGAAGTAACCATTATCCTGAATTCCTTTGTTTAAAATTTATTTTACCCTATATATTTATACCTCTAAACAATATATTGTTTGGTTTTGCTTTATAAAAGTATATACTTTCTGTAGTCTTCTGAGACTTACCTTTTCCCCTGAGTATGGTGGTTCTCAGATTAACCATGTTATCATGACTAGCTGTAATTCTTTTATTCATATATATATTTCAAATATATATTTTCTTTTTACTGGGCATTTATGGTTTGGATCCCTGATTTTTTTAAAAATTAAACTAGTTGCTCTGAATATTCTTGTACATGTCTCATATTGTCATAGTCAAGAGGTTCTGTAAGGTATACAGCTAGCAGTGGGATGTTTGTGTAAGAGCATATGCACATTTTCAACTTTTTAAGATAGTATCTGGTTATTTTTCACAGTTGGTATATTATTTTACACACTCATAAACAGTTGCTTATGAGTTCTCATTGATTTTTATATTCACTAATACTTGGTATCATCAAACTTCTAATATTTTGCCAAGATATTGCATGCAAAATTGTAATCATTGTGGTCTTAATTTACATTCCTCTGATTACTAATGAGGTTCAGCAGCTATTTATGTACTGGTTTACTATTCATGTTTCCTTCTCTGTAAAATATCTGCTCTTGATGTCTGTTCTTTGCCCATTTTACTCTAAAAAATTGACTTCTAAGCATTATGTATATTTGGGATACTAGTCTTTTATTAGTTAGTTGTATTGTAAATAGCATCTTCCAAACTGTGACTTTTTCACTTGGTTTTGGTGCATTTTAATGAAAAGAAATTGTTAATATTTAGTTGCATCCTCAAAAATAAATAGCTGGGCGAAATTGTATTTCAGTAGTTGTTGCAGTAGAAAACACAAATACTTTCTTTATTAAAATACATTAATTAATTTATTTTTAACATCTTTATTGGAGTGTAATTGCTTTACAATGTTGTGTTAGTTTCTGCTTTATAACAAAGTGAATCAGCTATACATATACATATATCCCCATATCTCCTCCCCCTTGCGTCTCGCTCCCACCCTCCCTATCCCACCCCTCTAGGTGGTCACAAAGCACCAAGCTGATCTCCCTGTGCTATGTGGCCGCTTCCCACTAGCTAATATTTAAAATAAAGGTTAATTTTTATGTTCATATTTGTAATCAAAACAATAAAAATAATTTCACGTTTTTAATTTTTAAAAGTATTATAGGTTACTGTGGTATTACTTCTATATTTTGAAATCAGAAATAAAATATGTGTACAATTTCAAAAATCTTTATGGACCACAAAGAGTTACATCCAGAATTTTGACATTAAGCCAGCATGTAATTGAGATGGAGTAACATCAGTATATGAAATGAAATTTTATAGTTACCTAAAAAAAATCTTGACATTATATTGTTCAAAAGTTTGGCAATTAGAGCCTAGTAGTTCTTATGGCCTAAAACCTTTGTACTTTTTGACATTTTTCTTTTGAGCTCATTAGTCCAAAAGTCTTTTGTCAATTTCCTTGCACATGAAATTTTATCTAGTCAGAAATAAGAAACACCAAAAGAATATCTGTGTGTGTCACACTGCAGTATAATACAGTTTTAATAAGTTGTATGGTACTGCTAACAGTATGAAACAGAAATTTTCAAACTGTAAAACTTAAATCACTACTAATATTAACTGAAATTAATACTTTTGCTGCAAAAGACTAACAAAGATTTTAAAATAAATTGTGTTGATTTTAAATTTTTCTTTCAGTGTGAAATTGTTCAAAGGATTTTTTTCTCTTTTATTTATTTGTAAGTTGAAACTTACTTGCCATCCTTGGGTTAGAGCAACTCCAGCCTTCTCAGCAATATGAGAGCCATCTCTTCCACCAAGAAGTCACTAGTGTATCTGTTTATGTCAAGGGTCCTCTTTTCTGGGGAGATTCAGTCTTAAATTTGGTGAGCCCTTCATGCATTCAATCAGTTATTCACTCAGAAGTATTTACTGAGAACCTGGTGCTAAACTTCTTTTAGGCACTGAGGATTCAGTAGTAGACCAAATAGGCAAGATCCCTGCTCTCAATAGGACTTATATTCCAGAGGAGAGAGTAAGATAAAAACAAACACAAAAAAGCAATAAATTAGTAAGAAAATATCAGGTAATTCTACATTAAGAATAAAAACATGGTGAGAGATCTGATATAAAATAACTGGGTGGCTGTAGAAGGACATAGGCAAAAATCAGGAATAACAGCACTGCTGATAGAGGGAATAGACAGTGCATAGTCCCTGAATGACAGGCATTTGCGAAACAGAATAGCATTGATGTTGAAGGGGGGATCTATATGAGATGAAGTTAGAGAAATAGGCAGGTTATGTAGACGTTTCTAGGATAAAGAATTTGGGGAATATTCTAATTGTAATGGGGAGACACTGGAGGGTATTAAATGACAGATGGCATGATGTGATTTGGGTTTTTCAAAGATCACACTGACTGCAATGTAGTAAAAATATTGTAAGAATATAATTGTAATGGGGTGAATAATTTTAAGAATATTTTGTGGACTCACACCCATCAAACATATGCAAATTCATAATGATAATAAAAACAGAACTAAACAATAATTTAAATTTTTTTGATTGTTTTAAGTTTCCAAAGCCCTGGCTCATCATTCTGAAAATTGGTAAATTAAGGGCAAAGATTTAACATACATCCCATCTTTCCTGTGTAAGGTGGCTTTCAGGATAACAAAATAGTTGCTGATGGAATGTTCTTTACAGAGGAGTTTCAGCCAACATATGCAGGTGAAAGGACAGAATTTTTTAAAATCACCTTTTGTAACCCATACAGAAACAATGGATACAGAGAGTGGTCATCACTGTTTCCTAGAACATTAAAGCAAAAAGTTATTTGAGAATTATACAATGAATGGGCCAAACTGACATCACCTGAACCCACAGATTAATCTCATTATCACTTAAAGTGGTACAACTAGACGTTTGATACCCCTGATATGATGCAATTGGAAGTACATAGCACATCACTTATGAAGTGAAATTATTTCTGACAAAATAAGATTGGACCTAGATACAGTCAAGTCTCTAGGTCTGATAATCTAAGGAAAAATGTGGAGAGAGAAATATGTTTAAAGAACTATGAATATGCAACCAGCCAATCTAGAATGTGGGTAACACTACAGGACAAATAAGTTGGTTTCTTTAACAAATGGATGACATGAAATACAGGCGGATATTATAGGTTAAAAGAGGTACATGCAGTGTGTGGACCTTGTTTGGAGTCTTATTCAAATAGAACAACCATAAGAAGACATTTTTGACACAACCTAGGAAATGTAACAGTGGATTGGATATTGGATGATGCAACAAAATTATTGAGGTTTTTTGTTAGGTGTATAGTTATGTTAAAATCATAAGCCAATTTCTGCTATTGATAGATACTGGGATGTTTTCTTTTATAGTACTTCATTGATCAAAGGAGGAGAAAGAGAAAATGATAGATGAAACAAGACTAGCAGAATGTTAATTGCTGAAACTAGATGAAGTTTTTATCAGGGATTTATTATAATATTCTCCATAGTTTTGTGTGTGTTTAAAAATTACTCTAGTAATAAGTTAAAACATAAACAACAAAAGATAATATCCAATCATGGAGTAAGGGGGGAAAGCTAATATAGTAGTTCAGACAAGGGATAGAAGTAGATAGGACTCGGGTAAAATAGTTGAGATGGGAAGAGTGGATGGATTCTGAATACATGTTGGAGATAAAGTAACTAGGGTTTGATATTGGATTAATTTGAGGTGGGAAAAAAATTGTACCTGGATTTTTGGTTTACATAAACTGGGAGAATGGTGATACTGTTCTAAATTGGGGAAACCAGACAGAGGAACAAGTTGGACTCAAAGTCAGTAGTTCTGCTTCAGTCATGTGAGGTTTAAGATTCCTGTTGGACATCCTAATGGAAATTGTAAGTAGATAGTTGGCTATTCCAATCCAATTCCAGGATTATATGAAGACTAGTGGTAAAAATTTCGAAGACGGGGCATAGCTGGTATTTAACATCATGAAAATGGTTAAGACTGTGTAGAGAAAGAGAGTGGAAATAGAAAAGAAAGGAATTCCAAGACTGAACCTGGGAAGTACCAATATTCAGAGTTCAAGCAGAAGTATTGAGTTAGCAAAGGAGTCTGAGAATAAACGTCCATGCGAGAGTGCATCACAGAAACCAAGAAAAGAAATCTTAGGAAGGAAAAATTGATCAGTGATAACAACTGCTGCTTAGAAGTCAAATAAGATTAAGGATAAAAAATGACCACTGGATTTGATAGTGTGAGGTCCATATTGGACATGAGAAAGAGAACAGGGACTAGAAGAAAAAGCAGACTGGGAATAGAGGCAAGAGAGTGAAAGATTCCTTGTGTAATGATTACCACAATCAAGCTAATTAACATACCAGTTCACGTAGTTACCATTTTACGTGTGTATGTGGTGAGGACACTTAAGATCTACTCTCAGCAAATTTCAAGTATACAATACATTATTATTAACTATAGTTACCATGCTGTACATCTAATGATCACTGGAACTTATTCATTTTTAACTGAAAGTTGTGTCGTATAACCACAACCACCTAAAACACCACAATAAACATCACCTAAAACACCTAATACACCTGAAGTATTT